CGTGAATCTTGATTTTACAGAGGCAATATTGAACAAGACTGAGCATGTCGGTGTTGGGGGAATTCATACAGAGTTTTTTTTCTAATGCAACAAGAGAACACGAGCTAAAAGCATTTTTTTGTTGTATATTTAAACACAATTGTGATGGACTGGTGGGTATGAGAGGTTCTTTTGATTGAGTGTCATTTGATATCATTTTAATGCCATGACCCAGACGCAACGTGCAGCACATGTCCAGGCATCTCGTGACCGCATCCTGGCAGAACCTGAGAACTCAGGAAAGCGTCAACACCAGCTTTTCATGGTCTGCTTTGACAGGGGCACCAATCTGAGCAGTATCTTGTCATTAGATGCCAGAGGGACCAGGCCCTCACCAATGAAATAATTAAATTTAGATTTAAAGCTTTCGTGACTGCAGGGATTCATATTCTTGGTTCTTTCGATAATTCACGTAGAAGGGAAATAATAAAAATATCAAACAATAAAATTCTCATGACGTTTCGACTGCAACACAATCAATCATCAGGTGTGAAATCCACAAATTTTCTTGCTGTGGATTTCACAGCTGATCATGATTGCTTGTGTTGCAGTCGAAACGTCGTGAGAAATTTATTTTATTTTATTATTTCCCTTCTATGTGACTTTACCGAAAGAACCAAGAAAATGAAATAATTACGAATTATAACCTGTCTTTGGCTTTCCCTGCAGCATAGAGACCAAAACAGATCAACTCAATGCAATAGCATCCATAATACAGGTGTTTTGTGTTAGATTGTGTACATACAAATGTCTTGTTAAACCCGCCACCACCCGACACAGCCAATTAGTAAGGTTTGACTTAAAGCTTTCGTGACTGCAGGAATTCATACTCTTTGGGTCTTTCGGTAAAGTCAACGAAAGACCCGAAGAGTAGTAAGGTTTGTCACGTGCACAGAACATGCCAATTCGTTACTAATACAGCCACCGGTGTGTTGGAGAGTAATCCAGAATATTTACAATCTGAGTACGACATGGTGGATTAATGCTGTTGTAGCAGTAGCTTTGACCAACTTTCCACTTGGGCTTCATTGGAAAGTTACTTACTGATAGTGGGGGTGCAACCATGCATCGAGAATGGGATGTTTTTCGATTGGCGAAAATGGAATTGGTTAACAGCATCCCTGCAGCAACTTAAGAGGCACTACCATTTGCCGCTTGTACAACTTTCAACAATCGATTCTTCAAGCAGAAGTGCAACGCTGACTCGTGACAATGTATCGCTGGGGTCGGAGGATAAATAATTTCACGTATTCCTTTGGAGCCTTTAGTACTAAGATAAATCTTTAATGCGACCTGCGCACACAGTAAAATGATCATATGAAACGATAATTTATTTAGCTCCATAACATTGCAACCCATTACAAGGGCGCTCCGTGTAACTACTTTGTGATCCACACTCATTTGGCTTGTAATGCTTTGTTGTTTCCAAATTGAAGGTGAATTGTCTTCTCAGGTCGTTGTGCTTTAGATGGAAGTTGATACAGTATATTCTTACATGCATAAGGGGGGTCCTCAATTTAATGCCTAAATAAAGAATGAAGCTCTTTCACAGTGGCTCAACATGTCAGTGCCTGTCAAGCAGTGCAAGACTGACCTTTGCGTGTTGAGAGTAATGAAAAAGAAAAGGCTATGGTTATGATGAAGGAGATGAAAAACGTCACCGCAGTGAACATCATATTTTCGTGCAAGAATGTTTGTTTCCGTTATTTTATTGTTTTTCCTCTTGATGCGGTGTTGTTCACGTGAAGCGCCGCTCGGGACGCGTGCGACGCGTCGAGTCCACATTTGCACGAGCTTGTCATTCAAGTCGATGTGACCTGTCAATGCGTGTCTTCTGCCGTGGATTGGCGACGTTTCTCGGGTGCTTGGCGCAAGGCCGTAGCCATGGAGTCAACATTGGGGGGGGGGACCAAATCTTCCAGGGGGTCTGGGGGTCCCCCCCCCCCAGAAAAAAATCTAAATTAGAAAACGAATTTCCTGTCTAAAATATTTCAAAATTCACTAACACATAGGATGGACTTTTTATTTATTTTGTACAATAATGTCTAATAGTCTATTGTATTACATTACTCAGTTTTTTTTCTTTTTTTTACCTTTTCTTGTTTCATTGTATGTAATGGCAGAGATTAGGGATTAATAAAGTACAACCATAACCACAATCATATAAACAGAAATCTATTTTATAGCAATATATTGGGGGGGGGGGGGGACATTTTGAGCATATTTGAATATTGGCGAATCATTTTCGCTTGGCGATCCATTTACCGGGCGGGATCATGGGAGGTGGCAGCAGCGGCTTGGCGAGAGGCCTTCATCCAGCAGTGGATTCACTGTGACGGACAACGTTGATGGTTGAAATTCAATCACGGTAATGATCTTGGTTCTTTCGGTAAAGTCACGTAGAAGAGAAATAATAAAATAATAATAAAACATAATAAAATTATTCTCACGACCTTTCGGCCACAACGCAAGCAGCCGTCCTCAGGTGAGGAACAGGTCTGTCGGGGAGACAGCGTCTGAATAAGGGGGGTCCTCAATTTAATGCTGTCTCCCCGACAGACCTGGTCTTCACCTGATGACGGCTGCTTGCAGTTGTGGCCGAAACGTCGTGAGAATTATTTTATTATGTTTAATTTTATTATTTTTATTGTTTCCATTCTACGTGACTTTACCGAAAGAACCAAGAAGATACTTCATATTGATGCTTGTGGGCTGGTGAAGGGGGTGGCGGGCGAGGGGGGGGGGTATTCAGATATTTCTCGCTGGGAATCAAACTCGGGTTTTTTTCCTGGTTCGTATTGCGGTGTGTGACCTCCCCCTGCCAGTGCAGGCAATGGGGAAATCAATGTTTACTTGTTGCACGCAACCCGTGCCTCCGACTTTGGCGTTCAAGCGTGCAACTCAAGACGACCTCGTCAAATCGATATTTTAACTCGAGGTTGTTGTTTTGTTTTGTATCTCCATACGACGCCGAGAGCGCGGTTCGTGTGAAAGTGCAATGCACGTTCAGTCGAAGCTTTTGTTGTTGCTGTATTGCTATAGGGACATTGAACATGTGAATATGTAACCTGATTTGATGTGCAACACTTAAAAAATCATATTTTAATAGTTTTTTTAATATTTGTAAAGACAAGTATATGAGAAATACACCTGTGAATTGTTTGTAGTTTTATATAGGATGGTGATATTGGGTAAATGCCGCATTGTAACACACACCAAATGTATGATTTGGGGGTGTCTAAAGTGTGTGTGGCAAGTGAATGCAAAGATCATGTCGGTTTAATCACCTTTTGTAGACTGATATTTCCTCATCGGATGTGGTGGCTGAAAGTACAGATTTATATAAATTAAACAATAAAAAAATGTCAACAGAAAGTAACGCCCTGTTCGCACATTCATAATGACAAAATGTTTTAGTTTCGCTGTTCGCGCAAATGACATCTCACAATGGACAAGGAGCCTGCAGACAAGCTGGAAGGAAACAGCCAGGCGGTGAGACAGTGCCAACAATTTCCCAAGCTCTGCGGTTCTACACAGAATAAGCTTTCGGCCAATTAATGAGTGTTCATACACTCCATGTGTGTGCACATATTTCTCATCGGTATCCTCGACGATATTTCAGTGCACCATGGTCGGCTACGTACGGTGCGAAAGAAATACAACATACGTGCAACGATTGTCATATATATACAACGGGGGGGGGGGTTGAAAGCATGCCCACGGCGTGTTTGGAAATTGTGTTGACCATACCCCACCACGCTGGTCCGTGCGGCTTTGTGGAGGGGAATGGACTTGTCACCAGTTCAAGTTGGCTTGCACAAAACCGCAGTGCTTCAGATTCCCCTGGTTGCTGTGGAGACAGCCATACTTAACCGTGCCCTGTTATTCTTTTTCAGTTCAGCTTAATTTCCCCCATTCAACAATCGGCTTAGCAGGTTTAGTCTGTATCTTACCATTAATTGTGCAATATGGTTACTATCTTGAGTTGAAGCTTTCGTGACTGCAGGAATGCATACTCTTTGGTTCTTTCGGTAAAGTCAAGTAGGTAGAAAAATAATAGATCACGACGTTTCGATAGCAACACAAGCCATCGTCCTCAGGTGAAACAATACAGCAGGCGGACTGCTGTATTGTTTCACCTGAGGACGATGGCTTGTGTTGCTATCGAAACGTCGGGACTTTACCGAAAGTCACATCTACGGACAAAACAAAAAAAAACACCCAGTTTCAGCACGAAAGCTTACAATCGACAAACTAACTGCTGGCATTGTGTAACGAGGCGACCACAAATTAGCCTTGAACTTCAATAGCTTTATCATATCAACACATCACAGGCCTATGTACACACGAGGGCATTTCAAGTTTCACGTGCACTCTTTGTTCTGCACAACTTTGCCTTATCCAGCAGGGTGTGCCTCGGCAAACGGGGCCGTGATTCCAAGGTGTGTCCTCATAGCCCTGGCCTCCCTAGATTTTGGGGAACCCGTTGATCGGTTTGGCTGATGTGCAACACAACCTGATGCTGACATTTCATTCATATCAGATCATCTTTTCGAGAGTTACCGTGCCCTTGACGGGAAGACAGGCAAGCGAGCAGAGAGTGCTAATGCGTCAACTTCCTTGACGAAACCGAGTTGGAAAGTATTAAAACACGTGGCGAGTTTCAGAATATTTATACCGGACGAATCCGATGAGCTATGAAGCTCTTTTCAACAGATGTCCAATAGGGAGGGTAAGACCGTTACAACGACAAACAATACAAAAACGTGATAGCAGTGCAAGGTTTAGGAACGGTAAGCAAATCACTTAAAATATTGATAAAAATAACACTAAACTTTATTTCTAAATCTTACCAGCTTAGGCCCACTGAGCTTATCAGCTTCTTTTTCAGAAGCCACCTGGCCACAAATAATAGCTCAACGAAGCGGCTTATTGTCGCGTGGAAATGTATAGCAGGACGACTTGGGGGGCGCAAATAAAATAACCCACGTGCATCCCTCGTGACAGTTGTGTTAACCTGACGTGTAAAAGAAAAACACATTTTCTCGCGTTTAAAAGTGCAGATTATCAATGAGAAAGGGACTCTCACGGTGCACTCTGGCCCATTCGGGCAAACTTGACCTCTTGGCTACGGCATGACCGGCGTTTTGTGGAGTGGAGCTCTCTCCGGGGAGGGAAGCCCAGCGTTGGTGGCTTGAGAAGTGCTCTTCAGGAGGCAGCTTAGCATCGTTTTCAGGCGCCAGGCTGCCGACTTAGAATCTGGCAGAAAAAAAAAACCAGACGAGAGTCGTGCAATTAACTTTTTTTTTTTACATTCTCATGCCTCTTACCCAGCCGAGTCTCAAAAACTCGTTTTAAGGACTGCCCCCCCCCCCCCCCACGACGTTCCAATTGAGCAATTCGATCATTGTTCACCTTGTGAGTTATTTGGCCAATAACAGTAACATTGCATGTTTGGTTTTTTAGCTATGGAAGGACAGCGGAGAAAGATACATACAGAACGGGGGGAGAGAGCGTACAAACTCCACTCAGAAAGGAGCCCGGGTCGGGAATCTAACCAAGGATTTTTTTGCCGTGACCACGAGTGTTACCACGGCACCACCCTGCCACCCCAAACAACGACATGTTGTCTTCAAATGCATGCACCTATGGTACCCTATGTGTGTCGGTCAGGATGCAAACCAAATTTTTAATCCAGCCAGCTATTCTCATTTCACCAATGAAGAAGGCCGGAGAAATGGGGTCAAAGAACATTTCTCAAGTGTCGCCTCACCTGGTCGTTTGGGCCCTATTGGTGGTGGCTGGCATCGTGCGCATCGTGAATTTCTAAATAACAATGATGACAATGCGCAACCCCCCTTATGTCAATCAGTCCACTGCTGGATGAAAGGCTCCCAGCGGCGCGTCGGTGGCAAAATGTTAACTCCCTCGCCTGGTGTGCAGGAGGTCGTGGGTTGGATCCTGATGCTAACACCTGCTGTATATTTGGAGTTTGCGTGCTCTCCCCGTGATGGCGTGGAATTTTCCCCGGGTCCTCTGGATTTCCCTCCAGATTTAGAATCAACAGCACGCGTTTAGAGTATTTGGCTGCTATAAATTTCCACTTGACTACGACAAGCCATTTGTGGCCAGATCGCTTATAAAAAAGAGAGCTACATAGCTCAATGGGCCTTACCTGGCAAAATAGAAAGTTTAAGTTCGAATATTTTTTTTTTTACCATGCTTCACCATGCTGGTCAGTATGGGTTGGTGAATGTGGGGGGGGGGGGGGGGGGAGAGCAGGATTGGTTCAAATATCGCTCGCCACTGATGGCGTTTAACCTTGGCGTTGGTAAATCGAACTCGGGTTGTCGTATCGTAACCGAGATAATCGCTGCGCTCAACCCGCGTTAGTCATGAGGCATTCGTACCAAGCAGTCTTGACCGGGTCTTGAAATAAACTGACTTCCTTCCTCAAGATAACAAAGAATCACTCCAGCATTTTCATGCAACGAAAGTGGAGGGGGACATCAATTTGCAGCTACGGCAATGGGGAGCGGTCGTTGTCCGTCAGTCTGAAATTTCGCCAGCACAGAGCCAGCCGGTGGCGGGGAAGAGAGATGGTGGTGGTGGTGAGTGGCTTTGGCGGATTATGTACGGAACAGCACGGCACTTTAAAGATGCCATCGCTCTTCCGATCAGAAGGTTATCTGCAAATTCAAATGACGGTCTGCCGAGCGGCATACAAATTCTCGTGTGCATATCTCGGTGTTGTGAGAGGGTGATGCGGGTGGTGGTGGTGGTGGTGGATTGAGTTGTGAGCCAGTGGTGATGTATTGTCGTGGACACGAACGAGAATAACAGCGAATGCAGCAGAATGGATGTAACGCGCGTGAGCGTCGTGTCTTTTGTTCGGGTGGAGCAGTGGCGTTGTGGTTAGCGCAACGCGCTCGCTAAGAACCAGACCATGAGTTTGATTCTTAGCCACGGCTGACATCGGTGGCGAATATTTGAACCGGTCCCTGGGTCTCCCTTTTGGTCGACATTGGGGGGGGCAAAATCTTCCAAGGGGTATGAGCATCCCCCCCCCCCAGAAAAAAAAATCTAAATTTGAAAACGAATTTCCTGTATAAAATATAAAAAAATTCACGAACACATAGGATGTACTTTTTATTTATATTTACAATAATGTCTAATAGTGTATTGTATTACATTGCTCTGTTTTTATTTTTTTTTACCTTTTCTTGTTTCATTGTATGTAATGGCAGAGATTAGGGATTAATAAAGTACAACCATAACCACAATCATATAAACAGAAATCTAATTTGTAGCAATATATTGGGGGGGACATTTTGAGCATATTTCAATATTGTCCCCCCCCAAAATATATTATAACTACGGCCTTGTGTGAACCTGACCAGCACCTCTCCCAGTTCGACTTGGCCATGAACTAAGCACCTGGTGCAGTGTGTAAACATCACCGCTGGGGAGACAAAGGCAGCCGGGCGTAGTGCTAACCACACCTGCCTCCACGTGCACTCTGGACGCCTTAATAGGTGCTCACGAACGACACTTTCTTCAACAGGTTTCGTGTTAAAAGCTAAACCAGAGGCCTTTGTCTGTTTGCGAGTATTCGTGTCACGTGTATGCGTGCGTGTTGCTTTGTTTACTTTTGTTAACTATTTTACCAGGGTAAGGCCCACTAAGCTTTACAGCTCTTTTTCAGAAGCGACCTGGCCATAAATGATAGCTCAACCTCAGTGGGCTTATCGCGTGGAAATTCATAGCGGTATCCAAATATGCTAAAGGCGCGTTGCTTCTAAATGTGGAGGGGAAAACCCGCAGGGACCCCAGATACAAGTCGACGCGACCAAAGCGAAAACATGCCTCCTCCACATAAACATGGACATCGGGGTAGGAATCGAACCCACGACCTGTATACCAGGCGAGGTAGTTAACATCTCGCCGCCGTGACGCCCTACAGATTTGGTGGTGGTGCTGCTGCAGCACGAGCAGCAAGACTTTCGTGCGACTGACGAGTGTGTTGCGTCTTACCCGAAGATCGTTTTCCCATCAGGCCGAAGAATTCATCTGTTAAGAAACGCACGCGAGCAGCGTCAGCACATCATAGTCGCATCAACTCGCGAGCGCCAGTTCGGAGTCAGTACCTTGTGCTGTTCACGTTTTGTCACGAGAGAGAGAGAGAATGAATCACGGGGAACCCTGCAAAGCGGGAGGCAGCCAGATCTGGTGACAGCAATTGCCAAAGTTGTGTGCCTGTATTGGCATGTTTGCCCAACTCACTTATTTGTACCGTAAGGAGGCAAACGTGCTAATCGGAGGCGCGGTGGGAGGGACTACAAACTAAACACACAAAAAGCAGTTCTAAAGAAACGCGTTTTTAATCCAGATTTCGAAGTGGATCGCTCCCAGTGGTTTCCTAATATCGGAAGGAAGAGCGTTCCAGACGGCCGCAGAAGCGCATCTGAAAGCGCCACGCGGTGCGGTCACAGTCTTTATTCGACGGCCAGCTGCTGCGAGGATGACCGGAGTTCGTGTGATTATAGTTTATGCTCCTTGACGAGATCAGCGCGGGTGTTGTTGTGGTTCATTCGTGGCAAGCGCTTTGTGGGGTGTTTGATTCATGTCGGGAGGAACTCGGAGAGGGGTGGGGGCAACACTCAATTCCTCCGTACAGATAGAATACAGCTGGAAATTAAGCGACTTGTTCTACTGCCATCATACCCTGCTGCCATCATACCCTGCTGCCATCATATCCTGCTGCCATCATATCCTGGCAAATGAGGAGATTGCCACCTCAACGCCCACGCTGTAGGCAGGGAGATTTCGTGAGTCTGTGTGTGATCCAACAACCCTCGCTGCCCCCACGGTTGCGGGTTACAAGCCGTGTTGCAGCAAGGCAGCCAGAGGCCAGCACACCTAACAATCCATCGTTTAATCTATCCGTTAACAAACAAAAACAATGTAAAGCTAATCATACGTGCATCGAATCTCGCGCCGTAGAATTGATTATCTTCAATGTTTGCGAATCGTATGAAATTGATAGGCCTCGCTTAGGTCGACTCAGCCTTAAATTATGACCTGGGGAGACACTGGAGGCTGGGCGTGGTCCTTGCCACACCATAGGTCAGAGGTCAGCAATCAAAATAACAGAAAATGCCATTTTTTTTTCGAATTCGGAAAAAAAAACTCAGTATTTCAAGGGCAGCAATGCAACGTGAATACGAGACGGTGGGTCTTCAATGAATAACGTCACGACGCATGCGGCTCCGGACCCGCAGGTTGTCGACTCCTGCCATAGGGGCTCGCGAACAGCACTTGCCCCAACGGGTTGTAAAGGCTCTACGTGAGAATCTATGCATTTGCATAGTGCTGTGTCTGTTGCGTGTGAGTTTTTCATATTAGCAAAAGTACGAGGAAAAACAGCAAACGGCAAGGAAACAAACCCGAACTTCTCCGGCCCATGAGCCCAAAGAACTCCCTCTGCAGTGATGGCGTGACTTGGCTTTGACCCCGACCTTGACCGTGACCTTGACCCGGCCCTCGGTTTTGGGTTGAGACTCTCGATCCTCAGCTCCTGGAATCAAAGGAGGGAACACCGCAGGCGATGAGCGCGCTAAGAGGTGATCAATCCACTGCTGGACGACGGCCATCCCTAGGTGGTCGCGCCCGCACGCGAGCTGATGTCGCGGCTCGGTGTCACACGGTGGACGGCCCCCTGGAAAGCCATCCCCCTCGTTTGACGACCACTCTGTTATTGGTCTCGGCCACCGGGCCGTCATGGCTTCCAGCGACGAGTTCTGCCCATGCACCACTTGCTATTCTAAACGGTGATTTTTTTATACTCTGCAACATCTTATATTTCGAACAGTGAATATCTTGTACTCCAAACAGTGAACATCTTATACTTTGCATATGCCCTCTCTCATCCAAGTGTCCCTCTCTCTGTGCAATTCCAAGCGTGCATCTCTCTCCTCTCTTTCCGTGCTTCTTTTTGCGCAACTTTTTAGTTTTCGTTCCGCTTTTATCCGTCAGTGTCCGCGTTTATGATCCCCTTGCCACAGCAGCCCAGTAAACATGCAACATTGGGCTAAACGTTGGATGTTTACCGAGAGGCGATATATCCATCTATTGAAAACGTTCGTCCTGCAGCGCATTGGGCACGTTGCTTCTTCATTTACTGAGTTTCATTTTCCAAAAGCGCTCCCAAATATCCCCTTCGTCGGCCCTCCCCATTCAAATCGATTTCTGTCCGACCAGCGGTGCTTCGCCGGGACGTGTCTAGGGGATGGCAGCACCGTCTCTCGTAGACTCGCCTCTGAAAAATCAAGCCGCCTTCCTGTGTATGACCAAACATACGTTACTTCCTTACCAGTCGACTATTTTATTCCTTTAATATTTTTTTAAAATGAAAAATTCCTACCAACTTTTGGCAAACTCCAGTTGTTATCAAGTGAACGTTTTCGTCTGGCACCTTGCACGGTGATGCCCTCTTGCCAGGTAAAAGCGCTGAGTCAAAAACGATCAGGTTTTGCATGTCCCGTACAGAGCACTGAAATGTGCCAGCAACTCAAACATTCCAATTTCCTGCTGCCGAGTAGCAACTGTTTCGGTGCGACACCATTCCTGCAAGTGGGGACATCAGTCTCCAAGTCTGGGTACCAATGGTGCTATTGGTTTCCAAATGAACCCTTTCCCGAGACGTGTGCAAGTTGCAGGGTGGTGGCCATTCACCGCTGGATCTCGGAACGCGCGAGCGGTTAGCGCTGACTTTATTTCGAGAGGCGTAGCGCCGCTGCTTTTTTTAAAAGACATTGTTACTCACCGCGGAGAACCGTAGCGACACGACCGCGCTCTACGATAGGCCGGCGCCAAACTGTGCCGCAAGCCCTCCCGCGTGGCCTTTCAATTCCCATTTTTGGAAGGAAAAAACTGATGACGTCAACGTACGTACACGTCCATCATCGGAACGGCAAAGCGGGTTAAGTTTGTCAAGGCGCTTTTTCCCCTCCAACCCAGCTTAAATCTACGCTCCAAGCCTGATGGTGTTTCATTCAGGCGCTGTCTTTCCGACAGACCTATTCTTCACCTGAGGACGGCTGCTTGCGTTGTGGCCGAAACGTCGTGAGAATAATTTTATTATTATGTTGAAATTTTATTATTGAATTATTTCCCTTCTACGTGACTTTACCGAAAGAACCAAGAAGACGGGTTAAGTCGTTTGCGAAAACGTTTCGCAACTCTGGATTGTAACACGCACGCACGCGCGCGCGCACATTTTGCGCTGTTGAAACACGCGTACATTGGCCCACCAACAGCCGTGGAGTTCACCGTCGCGGAGGCGTCGAGGTGCTCCGGCGTGGGCTGGCGCGGCGCAGCAGCAAAGCGCCAGCACCAGCGACGCCACAGCCAGCGCGCTCACCATGGCGCCGTCCTGGTCACCACCGTGGCCCTGCGTGGAAGATTCAGGCCCCCACCGGGAGTCGCGCACGTGACTTTGCGGGTCGCACCGCGTCGTTGTCTCGTATTTGTGTTTCATGAAAAAAAAAAGTGATTTTTTGTTTTGCCTCTCATATATCCACAGACGATTTTTTTGGGGGGTTAGATCGTGTAAATATAAATGTGTCGTTAAATCCGCCACCAACCGACAAAGCCATTCAGTAAGGTTTGTCACATTAGCAAAACGTGCCAATTTGCTACTAGTTCAGCACACCGGTGTGTTGGAGAGTAAACCCACAGCACTTACAATTCGAGTACATGTTTCGTTTACGTGACAAACCTAAACAAATGATGCTGTGTCGGGTGGTGGCTGATTTAATGACACATTTATGTTTACGCGATCTAACCCAAAAACACCTATTATGGATAATGTTGGTCGCGAAAGTCCACGTGTTAAACGTGCCCCTACTGGACATCTGTTTAAAAAAAGAGCTTTATAGCTCATCGGATTCCTTCCTAGTATTACTTTCATATTCTGATTCTGTTCGTCACAGTGCCCGACTGGTTAGCTCCACGTGCCCACCCCCCCTCCCGCGGGAACTCCCGCTGAGGGGGGGGGGGCATGTGGAGCGAAACGTCGGTCTCTGTGTGATCGACGCGGTGTACACATCGGGGAGCTGTACGAGACAACCGTGAAAGCGAAAGGCGACAAGGATTTTAATAATGTATTATTTACCACCGCCCCGGTTCGATTGAATTCGTTTTTTTTTTCTGGCAGCCTTCAAAAAAACACTCGAGTTTGAAAAACTGTTGCTGCCAAGATCGACGATAATTGTGGATCCCGTGAATTGCGTGGTTTTTATTTTACGGACTCAACATTTGCCACGGTTGCTATCGTCTCGTGTGACGAACAACATTTCCAACAGATTGACAATTGTTCAACGATACCTCATCGTGGAAGGATTTATTTTTGAGTTAACTTCGTTAACTACAAAATAGGAAATGTTACCAATGGCAACACAGCGCTGTGACATGTACCATATTCACGACATAGGATGAGGATATTTATTTATACTGCAGAGGGGAATCCGATGAGCAATGAAGCTCTTTTTTCCCACACATGTCCAGTGGGTGCACGGGGTAAAGAACTTTACAACAACAACAAGCAGTACAACAACACGATATTCTAGATTTGAAGCTTTCGTGACTGCAAGGATTCATATTCTTAGGTTTTTTCGGTAAAGTCACGTAGGTAAAAAATGTACCACCTGAAGACGGAGGCTTGTGTTGCTTCCGAAACGTCGTGATTTTTTATTTTGTTTTATTTTACTTTTATTAATTTAAATGTTTTACCTACGTGACTTTACCGAAAAATAAACCTAAGAATAACAACACGATAGTATAAGAAAGGTAAGCAAGTCACGCAAACTCGTACAAATACAACACTAAACCATCCACAGCCTACCAGGCAAAGCACACTGAGATATTAACTTTACAAAAATGATAGCTCAACAAAGTGGCCTATCGTTTGGACATTTATAGCGGCAAAGACAAAATCTAAATAGTCGGAACGCGTGTTTCTCAACGTGGAGAGAAAAATCGGAGGACCCGGAGAAAAAAATCCACGCGACCACGGAGAGAGAGACACGCAAACTACATATAGTTATACTCTTAGGTTTTTTCGGTAAAGTCACGTAGGTAAAAATAAAATAAATAATAAATAATAGAATTAATAATAGAAATAAAATAATAAATCTCCGTCATCAGGTGGGACCGTCACAGCTAAATGTACTGTATCAAGTGTCATTGATGAGGTATCGTTGAACAATTGTCAATCTGTTGGAAACGGAGACTTGTGTTGCCTCCGAAACGTCGTGATTTATTATTTTATTTCTATTATTATTATATTATTTATTTACCGAAAACACCTAAGAGTATGAATCCTTGCAGTCACGAAAGCTTCAAATCTAGAATACAAATAGTTAATATACATCACGGCACAATTGTATCTGTCTAAGTAAATACCCCATTGAGCTTAACACAGCTCTGTATCAGCAGACAACAGCGGCAGCGAAGTGTCACACATCGCGTGAGATTTTTAAGGCCGAGTCGAACTAGGGGAAGTCCAGCACCGCCGCATAAGATATTCCTGCAAATGTATATACAAAGACAAAGATGCCCCGTCTAGCCTTAGCGAGCACCTATAAAGGCCGGCACGGCACACGAGGAGATGGGTGGCCAACACCACGCCCGGCCGCCTTTGTCTCCCCAGTGGCGATGTTTCCACACCGCACCAGGTACTCACTTGAGGCTGAGTCGACCTAGGGGATGCCCAAGACGGGTTCAAATAATCGTCACTGGTGTTGGCCGTGAGCGGGGATCGAACCCCGGGTCGCCAAGTTCGTAGCGCAGCGCACTAACCGCTACACCACCGCTACACACACGCACCTACACATACACCTACACACACACACTAACACACACACACGCACCAATGGCAACACAACAGCTGTATAGCACACACACACACACACAAATGCGTGTGCCATACAGCAGTTGCGGCATACGTTTGGTCTGTGTGTTCGTGCATGAGTTTAGGGGTTAACACGTGGCACGCTTTCGCGACCAATATTATTCACTAAAAAGGTTGTTGGGTTAGATCGCGTAAGTATCATTGCGTCGTAACCCTCCACTACCCGACACGGCCAATTAGTAAGAGATGTGTCACGTAAACAAAACGCCAATTAGTTACTAGTGTAGTGTATAGTAGTGTAGTGTATAGTAGTGTATAGTGAAGTATACTACTTCAGCCAACCGGTGTGATGGAGAGTAAATCCACAACATTTACAATTTCAATTTGCCTTCACTATTCTGGCAAATCGCCCGAGGATGCTTGCTGTAATTACGAGCGAAACGTCGTACTACTCAAATTGTAAACGTTGTGGATGTACTCTCTAACAACACACCGGTGAAATTTCGATTTAAAGCTTTCATGACTGCAGGGATTCATCTTCTTGGTTCTTTCGGTAAAGTCACGTAGAAGGGAAGTAATAAAATAATAAAAATAAAACATAATA